GTGCTGAGGCACCATAAATAACTATGCCAGGTATGTTAACAATGGACAAAGAAGTTTTTTTTACTGCTTCATATAAATCTCTTGACTTAGTTATGTCTTTTAAAGGCACTAAAGATGCCACTTATTTAATGACTTTATTTTTATTTTCTTGCATCTTGCATTTTTGGCTGGGGCTGGGCTTGAACCCGCCACCCCTTTCAGTGACTTTGTATTTGTTATTAATACCTCTGATAAAAATGGCAAATGGGGCCATATTTGTAGCATCAGGGCTGTCTTCCATCTCCGAATCATAAAATTTAAAATTAGCAGCTTTAGTCTTCAAACTTCTTTTGACAAATTTTCCAATTTCTTCAATTCTCTTGGGTATAGTTTGGTGCAGCAAACTGAATTTAGAAATATCCCCCTTTCTCAGGGCAAATTATATCCACCATGCTTAATAAATACATGGCTTAATAAATTCACCATCAGTAAATGGTTTTGACTTTTTTGCTTAACTCATTTAAATTAGTGGTTAAATATGCTATCACATAACTAGCTTTTATTTTTTGTTTCTTTTGAAATAGTCTCACTTTGTCACCTTGGTAGAGTGCTGTGGTGTCACAGTTCATAGCAACCTTAAACTCTTGGGCTCAAGCGATTCTCTTGCCTCAGTCTCCCGAGTAGCTGGGACTACAGGTGCCTGACACAATGCCCAACTATTTTTTTTTTTTTAGTTGGGTTTCTTTTTTTTTTTTTCTGAGACAGAGCCTCAAGCTATCCCCCTGGGTAGAGTGCCATGGCATCACAGCTCACAGCAACCTCCAACTCCTGGGCTCAAGCCAGTCTCCTGCCTCAGCCTCCCAAGTAACAGGGACCACAGGCGCCCACCACAATGCCCAGCTATTTTTTGGTTGCAGCCGTCATTGTTGTTTGGCGGCCTGGGCTGGATTCAAACCCGCCACCTTAGGTGTATGTGGCTGGTACCTTAGTCACTTGAGCCACAGGCACCGAGCCTGCCCAACTATTTTTAGAGATGAGGTCTTGCCCTGGCTCAGGTTGGTCTTGAACCTGTGAGCTCAGGCAATCCAGCTGCCTTGGCCTCCAAGAGTGCTAGGATTATAGGCGTGAGCCACCTTGCCCAGCCTTCCATAACTGCCTTTTATAACGTTATGTCTGATTTGTAATTTTCAAAAAACCTATTTGTTGAGTAGACTTTTTTTTTCAGTTCTGTTACTTTGTCCTTGTGACACAACCCTTCCTACACATTGAGTTTGGCAGCATGTTTTTGCATATAATGCCTTTTTTCTATCCATAGTCTTTGAAAACTTGTAGATTCCCTACAAATTAACCAGCGCCTTACTATTTGCCTCAACAAAAAAAGTAGTGATTTGTCCACTTTTCCTTGAACAACCTTCCTTTATCCATAATTTTTCTTTCTGGGGGTTACGTTTTCTTTTGAGATGTTGTAGATTAAAAAAAATAATACATAAGGAACTATATTTGCTTTTATTAGGCAAATTCATTGACAGGAAAATAGAACAAGGTTTGAGCCCTTTCACATCCTGGCTGTCGATGCAGGGAGAGGAGGTGGCTGACTGTAAAGCTTGGCAGGTGACATGTGAGGGGCCGCTGGGGTGTGGAAGTGCTCTTAATAATCCGGTATAAACCCTTACCTGACTCTAAACAACATCAAATGCTTAACACTGCAATGGTAGGTTGAAATATTGATCAGGTCAGGTGCTGTGGCTCTCACACTCTGGGAGGCCAAGGCGGGTGGATTACCTGAGCTTAGCAGTTGGGGACCAGCCTAGGCAAAAGCAAGACCCTGTCTCTAAAAATAGCTGGGCATTGTAGCAGGCACCAGTAGTCCCAGCTACTTGGGAGGCTGAGGTAAGATGATCGCTTGAGCCCAAGTTTGAGGTTGCTGTAAGCTATGATGGCACAGGACTCTATTGAGGGTGACAAAGTTAAGATTGTCTTAAAAAAAAAAAAAGGTATTATCGATAATCGCTGCCTCGACAAGTCACCCTGAGCACATGTAACATCTGATGGTGTTAATTCGAATGACTGCACTTCAAAGATAACACACTGGAAGCCACACACGGTTGTAAAACTGAAGCCACGTGTGCATATAGCTAGAGTGTACATGTTTATTTTATGTGATAGTGTGACAGTGTTGTCGTCTACAGAGATCATGCTTGAGAACTGTGCAGTCAAGTTCCACATACAAAAAAATCTCATTTTAAGTTTATAATACTGTGTTGGGCTGCATTCATAGCCATCCTAGGCTATCCGTGGCCCACAGGCTGCAGGTTGGATACCTCTGATTACAGCTTCTCTTTCTGTCAAAAATTCATGGACCTGATGATGGCTAAGTTCACAAAAACAAATACATTGACATTATTAGTTCAGTAACATGATAGGTTCATGGATTTGAGAAAGTGCCTGCTGGTATATGACAGTGAATCAGCAGCCTTCAGAACCGTTTCTCCTGAACTGTGAATTTGATCAACTAAGCCTTTTCCTGCTCCACATTTACGCTTTACTATTATCAGCTCTGGTATATCTCGGCAAATTCCACTTCCGGTTGTACTAAATTTCAACTTTTTTTTTTTTTTTTTTTTTTTGAGACAGAGCCTCGAGCTGTCCCCCTGGGTAGAGTGCTGTGGCATCACACTCACAGCAACCTCCAACTCCTGGGCTCAAGCGAGTCTCCTGCCTCCGCCTCCCAAGTAGCTGGGACTAAAGGCGCCCACCATAACGCCCAGCTATTTTTTGGTTGCAGCCCTCATTGTTGTTTGGCAGGTCCAGGCTGGATTTGAACCCGCCACCTTAGGTGTATGTGGCTGGCACCTTAGCCACTTGAGCCACAGGCGCCGAGCCCTGGCCACATTTCTTTGGCTGCTACAAACACAATACTTTGGCACAATGGCTTTCTTTGCTTGTTGGCCAACAAACCACATGGAAACTTTAGTTACGGTCAGTTATACCCTCATTTTTATTTTTTACTTGTGTCAAGAAATTGGGTGCTGAAATACCCTGTCTTAAATACCCAAGTCTTTTGACTGCTACAATCCCGTCAGTTGGGAATATTGTGATAAATGTGTGGTAATGTTGACATATATTTTTTTCTAACACAGCTGGAATGTCACTGCAAAATACAATGTTTAACATCCAATTTTATAACAATACATATAGTTCACAGTACCATTATACATGGAGGCACTTGAAACACACTTTAAACTGCATCACTACAATTTGTAGTGCACTCAGCAGCATTGCTAAGCAGAGGACCATGTTGAGGTCTCTGTCATAACTGAACTTACAGCACAAAAGTAGCCACAGACAATACGTAAGCATGTGAATGTGGCTCTGTTCCAAAAAACATTTATGGACACTAACCTTTGAATTCTTTATTATTTTCGTGTACCATAAATTATTTTTCCCCAATCACTTAAAAATGAAATACAAACACAGCAGTGGGTGGGAGTTGGCCTGCAGACTAGTTAGCCACCATGTGATTAAGTGGAAATTAACATTCCTGGGCTAAGGATAGCAGCAGTCTGCAACAGTCGCTCAGCAGAGGACAGCTGCCCTAAGGTGTCTAACTTGAGTCAGTCTTTGAACAAATATCCTCTGATGTACTGAAGAGATTGTGGAATTCCTATCACCACAGTCTACCCCGAATTTTTTGTTTTCTATCATGAATCTGCCAGGGACAATTTCCAATCATAGTGATCTGTCGCCTTGAATATGGCTACGTTGTAATTCAAACAATGCTAGCAATAGAAAACTCCACTATGAATTTCTGTCAACTTTCATTCACTGTTTGACATTCAAACGCCCTTCTGGAAGCATTTGTTCATTTGACACTCCCTCCATTTTATGGCCAACATGCAGCTTGTGAAGTATCTGGCTAGTACAGAAACTAGTTTGTGAATTCCTTTTTTCCCTTTATTGCTTTTTGTTCTGATTATACATAGTATATGAAAGAAACAAATTGTTAAAAATTAGGAAAAATCTTATTCACAGTATTAGTGTTGATATATGTCTTTCTATTAAAAAAAAATTACACTTTAACATAGTCGTGATCAAACTAATCGCACAGCTTTTAGTTATGCCCTCACTTCAAACTTACTTGCTCCATCTTAACTTATTGTGAAAACCTTTCCTTAGCATTTCACTGGATAAGGAGCCTTTACTCTTGATTGCAGTCTGTCTCCTACTGTAGGCTACAAAATTCCCTTACACAATTTAAAAACTGAACAGTACCACACCTAAGGGGGTGGGCGGGTGGCAGTTTAGGAAGCCGGAAACACTCAGTTCACCTTGACACACACATTTGAAGGCCCATGTCCCTTGGATAAAGGGAAGAGAGCTTACATGGTACTTTCTCAGAAGGAGAAATCAGAGGGACATCCAGATCCACAAAGTTGGCCAGGCACAATGGTTCACAACTGCATTCTGGGAGACTGGGGTGGGTGGATCCCTTGACTCAGGAGTTGGAACTCAGTCTGATCAAGATTGAGACCCTGTGTCTACTAAAAAAAGAAAAATTAGCGATATGTTATTGGCAGGAACCTGTAGTTCCAGCCACTTGGAAGGATGAGACAAGAGGATTGCTTGTGCCCAGGTTGCTATGAGCTATGATGATGTTACAGCACTCTACCCAGGGTTGACTAGAGCCAGACGGTCTCAAAAACAATAAAAATAGGTCCATAAAGTCCAGACATAGTTCAAAAAGGGAGCCATTCACTTGACAAACACATACTGCACTGTCAGGTATAATCTGCTCTTTGTATATACTTACTATCAATTGTTCTGCATTTCCCATCAGAACACCAAGCCCAGTATCTTTAAGATTTAAATGCTAGATGAAAAAAACCACATGGTGGCAATGTTTTAAATGAATCTGGATTAGCAGTATAAAAACACACTTTAAGGGCATCAGAAACTGAAAAACAAATGAGGAGAAAATTCACTGTATTTTTCCAAGACTCCTAAGTCCACATGCATACCAATAAATTATAAGAAAAAGTTTATTTGCTGATCACTCTTTGAATCTTGGAATTTCCCACATGATACTGATATATAATGCCAACCCACCATTATGGTAAATATCAGTCATTTTTGAATCTTCATTAACACTTGAACTATTATATAAATGAATCAGCAGTAACAATTGAAAATTCCTTTTTACTTCTCATAACATTTAACCTCCAGAAGTTTCAATCATCCAATGTTAAATGTCTAAAGTATCCTCCTGGGTGAAAAGTACGATAATGGTTTTTACCTGGTGGTGAAAAACAGCTGCAGTTTAGCCATTAAACCTGCAGTTAACGGTGAGCCTTCTATCCAGCAAAGTAATTAGGGAAAGCTGTGGAATCTAAAATGGAAACTAGAAGAGACCAGGAAAAAGAGGGAACGTGAGCCCAACCGCTGCAAGCTGGTATGCACCCCTGTATTTCAGAAAGGACAGACAAGCCAAAATAATACAAGTTGCTTTGCTTACTGACTTGACCAAATAGTATGTTTTTCCTACAAAAATACTGTCAAGGGGCTGGGCATGGTGGGTCATACCTATAATCCCTGCACTCTGGGAGGCAGAGGCAGGAAGATCATTTGACTTTAGGAGTTTGAGACCAGCCTGAGCAACAGTGAGACCCCAGCTCTACAAACAAGAAAAAGCAGAAATATTTAGCTGGGCAATGAGGCGGGAAGATCCCTCGAACCCAGGACTTTGAGTGAACTGACACCACAACATTCTAGCCTGTGCAGCAGAGTGAGGCTCTGTCTCAAAAAAACAAAACAAAACAAACAAACAAGAAAATCAACCTTGCCAAGGGTTGCATTTCACTGTACCTAGTATAGAATCAGCCCATGAAACAAAAACTGCACTTTCAGAAGAAATGCTGTGCACAGTAGATTCAGAGTCACTGCTTGCTTTTTCTTCGTCTTTTTTTCTGTGAACCTGTAGGTGTTTGAGTCTCTTGTATTTCTTCTTTTACACTGGATTTGGGCTGTTTGAAAACTATTTCATTATCTTCATCATCATTCATTGCAGCCACTTCAGATTTTCGTTTCTCCAAAAATGCTGGTGTACAAACTGGTGTGGGGCCCTGCATTCAGTAAGTAAAGATCATATCACATTAACACATACATGTAGAACACCGCTACTTCACCCCAGAAACACCATCTCCCCTCTACTTTTACAAGTTGTGCCAGGTTATTTTAGGGTTTTTTTCTCCCTTTTAGTGATACAGATGGAGATATAAAGAGCTTAGATGCTTATCAAACTTAGTATGGAAATTCACAATTAATTAAAACATAACATGCTCCATTACAAGGTACTAGACAGAAAATGCCTAAATTATTAGTGAGGATCTTACCCAAATGTTAAAACAAGATTTAAACTCTTTTTTTTTTTAATTAAATGATAGCTGTATACATTAATGCAAACATGGGGTACAGTGTAGTGTTTAAACTCTTAACCAAGTAAAAAAATAATCTTAACAAAGTGATAGTAGCAGAAATTGCTCTTCCTTCTTCAAATTACTTCTGTAATATCTGGTGCCCAAGATAGTGAAGACATTTTACCTGGCTATCCACAGTCTTTTCAGGAGTCTGAGGAGTGCCGGAAACCTGTTGTTTCTTTCTCTTAGGTAAGACCTTCAAATACATTTTAAAAGATGATCAATTTATATATCAATCAGCTATTGTTGTCTTGAATATATTTTCCTGCTTTTCTTTATCTAATAGTTTGCATGTGAAATGATAAAATTTACCTGGTTATTTGAAAACGTCTAACAATCAGTTTTTGAAACCTTTTCCCACTAATTCTGTAAATCTTAAACGAAGAAGTTATAAACCAGCTATCTCACATCTTTCCTTTTTAAATTTACCATTAAATCCTCATACATGTTAACAGTAAATCTTCCCTAAATAACAGATTATTTCAATTTCAAAAGCAGTAACTCCCCACTACAATAGGGTGACCAGACTTCCCACTTTTCAACAATTTGTCCCGCCTCCTGGGGCGTTTTAAAGAAGTCCCGATTTTGGGAAAGCATGCATGAATGGGCAGGAGAACAAGAAGGGAATATACGGTTTTCGGCTGCCATGTGGCTATTTCACCAAAATATGAGTTTTATATTATTTTTGTTAATTTTATAATGTTAAACTGTAATAATAACAACAAATAATTGCTGAGAAGTGATTACTGAGACTGCTTATCAAAGTTTGCATTGTAGTCAGGCCCTGCCCCGCCCCGCCCCCGCCGCCATGTCGTCCTGCCTTACCGATGTTAAAATCTGGTCTCCCTACACTACAACGAATAATCTCAAGTAAAGGGCAAAAACACAAGAGGGGCCTGAGGGAATGGCAGAAGCTGTAGAGGCTGAATGGAGGGCTAAAAACAGACTTTGCTCATTCACAGAATTCTGAATTCAGGAGGAACTAGGAAGAATGTGAAAAGGTGGGCCCTGGAGGACTAACCTGACTAAATTTATGGCAAACAGCCTACAATAGCGGCAGTGCTTAAACACCCCTTTTTAAGCTTCACAGTCTCACCTCCCAAATGGTTCATCCGAGTACCAGGGCCTAAGACCTCAAAATAATGTTCTTGTACTGTTAAAGATAGTATTTGGGATTTGGGCAAAGAATTAACAACCAGGTTATTGCTTTGGGAAGCTGAGGCAGGAGGATCACTTGAGGCCAGAGTCTGAAACCAGCCTAGTCAATAGAGCAAGAGCCTGTCTCTACAAAATAGTAATACTTAACAACCAGGAACTGGGCCAAAGAATAATTCAGTCTTCTAATTTTCTGCTAAGGTTTAAAGACCTAATATACACTCTGGGAGGCCGAGGTGGGTAGACTGCCTGAGCTCAAGGGTTTGAAACCAGTCTAAGCAACATTTCTAAAAATAAATAATGATAAAAAAATTTAAAAAAAGATTGAATATACTTGGGAATAAATGCCATCTCTTACCAACTAATTCACTTCCCTTTTTTTTTTTTGAGACAGAATTTTACTACGTCATCCTCAGTAGAGTGCTGTGCCATGCCATCACAGCTCACAGCAACCTCAAACTCTGGGGCTTAGGCGATTCTCTTGCCTCAGCCTCCCAAGTAGCTGGGACTACAGGTGCCTGCCACAACACTGGCTATTTTTTTGTTGTGGTTGTCATTGTTGTACAGCAGGCCCAGGCACGTTTGAACCTGCCTGCCCTGATGTTATGTGACTGGCGCCCTAACCACCGAGCACCGCATGCTGAGCCTAATTCACTTCCTTTAAATAAGCTGAAAGGGTCTACAGAAGACACAAACAATCTCAAGACTTAGACTAGCAGTTCTCAACCTGTGGGTCGCAACCCCCTTTGGGGGTTGAACAACCCTTTCACAGAGGTCACCTAAATATATCCTACATATCAGATATTTACATTATGATTCATAACAGCAGCAAAATTACAGTTATGAAATAGTAACAAAAATAATTTTATGGTTAGGGGTTACCACAACATGAGGAACTGTATTAAGGGTCACAGCATTAGGAAGGTTGAGAACCACTGACTTAAGACAAAAAGAACTAATACTTTCAACTATACAAGCTACACACTAATGTCCTGAATTCCTGATTTGTACTAACAAGAAATACAGCTCTCCTCTTCATACTGTGACAAGTGAAAGACTCAGTAAAGCCTTCTTATTCTCATTTCCTTAAAAGGAAGAAAAAATTGGACAAACAACTGTGCTAACTTATCTTTATCTAAGTAGGCTTGCTGTATTTCAACCTTTGCTCCCTGACTTCACAGAATTCATGTTTACTGGCTAATTCTGATACATAATTTAGGAATACCTCCAGTTTACAAGAGTATGAAACAAAAGTTTACCTGGAATGGAATAAAAAGAATGGGTAATTTACTGTCCTGATTATTTACTGACAGCATATAAAAATCAAATATTTAATTCTGGTAATGTCACTGCTCTGGTAATCTGAGACCATCACAGTTTAATGTCAATAACTTAAAATGCAGATCCTGAAAGTCACACAAATCAGGTAACCCCTTTAAAGGCATTTCCTCTTTCATATAATGAAAATAACAGGCTAACAGGATGAAAATATAATGAAATAACAGGATATTCGGATCTGTTCTCATAAGCATTTATGAAGAATCCACCATGCAATTTTTTTTTTTTTTTTTTAAGAGACAGAGCCTCAAGCTGTCCCCCTCAGTAGAGTGCTATGGCATCACAGCTCACAGCAACCCCCAACTCTTGGGCTTAAGTGATTCTCTTGCCTCAGCCTCCCAAGTAGCTGGGACTACAGGTGCCTGCCACAACTATTTTTTTGGTTATAGCTGCCATTGTTGTTTGGCGGGACCGGGCTGGAATTGAACCCACCAGCTCTGGTGTATGTGGCTGGCGCCCTAGCCACTTAAGCTACAGGGGCTGAGCCCACAAGGCAATTATTTAAAAAATTCAGTCATGGCCAGGTATGGTGGCTCATGTCTGTAATCCTAGCACTCTGGGAGGCCAAGGCAGGTGGATTGCCTGAGCTCACAGGTTGGGAGACGGGCCTAAGCCAGAGTGAGACCTTGTCTCTAAAAATAGCCAGGGTTGGTGGAGGGTGCCTGTAGTCCCAGCTACTTGGGAGGCTGAAGCAAGAGAATTGCATGAGCCCAAGAGTTTGAGGTTGCTGTCAGCTATGATGCCACAGTACTCTACAAAGGACGACAAAATGAGACTCTGTCTCAAAAAAAGAAAATTCAGTCATAACCTAGTATGTGATAAGCACTGGGCTAGATACTTTATATAATTATAATGATAAAGGCACATGTTATTACTGGTTAGGTACAAAGCCCCCCCCCCCAAGAAAAACCACACAAAAAAAAATTTCATGAAGGAATATTTACCAATGGAGGAAAATTGTAATCAATTCCTTTTTTCTCTAATTTCTTCCTGAGTAACTTTTCCTTCTTTTTAAATCGCTTCTCCATCTGTAGTCTTTGTGTAAATGTCCGTTTCTGATTATACCGTGTCACTGCCGGATGTGATGGCTGTTTAAATGGCATTTTGCAGCCCTTAAAAAGTTCTTTATGTACTTTTCCAGGTGGCACAACACGACCTATTTTTAAAAAGGAAAAAAGAAAGTTTTTAACTAAGAGGTTGGGAAGGGATTTTGTTAACTTTAGAATTTCCCCACAGCCATTTTCCATGTCACAATCAAAATGATGAGGCTCAATCTTGTATCAAAGTAACATATCAGCCAATATTATCCTAATGGAGTTAAGGCTTTAAGATAGAAGCAACAAATGTTACCCTCTCTGTTATTTTTCAGACACAGCACAGCACTGATTTGCACTTGTTGTTGTTGTTGCGGTTGTCATTATTGTTTTAACTGGCCTGGGCTGGGTTTGAACCTGCCAGACTCAATGTATGTGGCTGGTGCCCTACCCACTGAACTACAGGTACCACCTGATTTGGCACTTATGACTGACACCTTTTAAGTTACCTGCCAGCCCATTTCTTCCTGGCAATGGCCTGCTTTTAATTTCAGAATGAGCCCATGACTCCAAGTAGGACACTCAGATTCTCTCTCATACTACTTGGGCAGCCTTGGCAGCAGATGCCTATGAACTTGGATATCTGGATGGCCATACACCACCACTGGGTACAGGGAAGCCAGAAACTCAGCTTTACCTCCCCAAGGCCTTGAGACCTAGATGGGGTTCTCAAGGGGGTCCAGTGGAATACAAATTAGAGGCTCCACCTGCTCCTGCATGCAGAATAAACTTGTAACCACTGTTGTCTCTATTCCTTATATCTTCCCTCTTGTGAAAGAGCTGCAGCCTATACCATTTAGGCTTTTTTTTTTTTTTT